ATCTTGCCCTTGGTCAGCCCCTCTTCCTTTTTCCTTCCATTTTCCCCAGCATCATTGTCTTCTCTAAGCTTTCCTTTCTTCTCATGATGTGGCCAAAGTACTTCATCTTGGCCTCTACTATCCTTCCCTCCAATGAGCAGTCAGGCTTTATTTCCTGGAGTATGGACTGGTTGGATCTTCTCGCAATCCAAGGCACTCTCAGGACTTTCCTCCAACACCACAGTTCAAAAGCATCTATCTTCCTTCGCTCAGCCTTCCCTAAGGTCCAGCTCTCACATTTGTAGGTTACTACAGGGAATACCATTGCTTTGACTATGCGAATCTTCGTTGCCAGGGTGATGTCTCTACTCTTCACTATTTTATCGAGATTGGACATTGCTCTCCTCCCAAGAAGTAAGTGTCTCCTGATTTCTGATCTACCCAAACAGAATTCAGAAAGTCCTTAAAAAAAGACAATAGGTGAGAAATGTCAGTGAATTATCAACAATTTGAAAATATAGCACTGTATCCAACAAACATTTACATTGCATGTCTATAACTATAAATAAATCTTCATCTATCTATCTATCTATCTATCTATCTATCTATACATACATACATACACATACATACATATAATAAAAGTGAAAAATGTGTATGTGTCGGAAGTGTCCACTTACACAGACAGTCTCCAGCCTCCACAAACAAGTTATAGTTCCAAGTGCTGAGAAGTTATAGTTCCAAGTGCTGAGAAGCCTCTAAAGCAGTGTTTCTCAACCTGGGGGTCGGGACCCCTGGAGGGGTCACGAGGGGGTGTCAGAGGAGTCGCCAAAGACCATCAGAAAACACAATATTTTCTGTAGGTTATGGAGGTTCTGTGTGGGAAACTTGGCCCAATTCAATCATTGGTAGGGTTCAGAATGCTCTTTGATTGTAGATGAACTACAAATCCCAGCAACTACAACTTCCAAATGTCAAGGTCTATTTTCCCCAAACTCCATCAGTGTTCACATTTGGGCATATTGAGAATTCGTGCGAGGGTGCGAGGGGGTTTCAGAGAGGTCACCAACGACCATCAGAAACACACATTTATGCTCTAATATTCCCATTAGAAAATGCAGTTGAACTATAACTCCCAAAATCGTGGGTCAATCTTCCACAAAACCTGCCAGTATTCAAAGTTGGCCATGTTGGGTCTGTGTGCCAAGTTTGGCCCAGATCTGCCATTGTTTGGATTCACAGTGCTCTCTGGATGTAGGTGAACTACAACTCCAAAACTCAAGGTCAGTGTCCACCAAACCCTTCCAGTATGGTCATGGGAGTTCTGTGTGCCAAGTTCAATTCCATTGTTGATGGAGTTCAGAATGCTCTTTGATTGTAGGTGAACTATAAATCCCAGCAACTACAACTCCCAAATGTCAAGGTCTATTTTCCCCAAACTCCACCAGTGTTCACATTTGGGCATATTGATAATCCATGCCAAGTTTGGTCCAGATCCATCATTGTTTGAGTCCACAGTGCTCTCTGGATGTAGGTGAACTACAACTCCCAAACTCAAGGTCAATACCCACCAAACCCTTCCAGTATTTTCTGCTGGTCATGGGAGTTCTGTGTGCTACGTTTGACTCAATTCCATTGTTGGTAGAGTTCAGAATGCTCTTTGATTATAGATGAACTATAAGTCCCAGCAGCTACAACTCCCACAAGACAAAATCAATACCCTCTTTCAAATCCACCAGTATTCAAATTTGAGTGTATTGGGTATTTGTGCCAAATTTGGTCTAGTGAATGAAAATACATCCTGCATATCAGATATTTACATTACTATTCATAATAGCACCAAAATGGCAATTGTGAAGTAGCAACTAAACTAATTTTATGGTTGGGGGGTCATCATAACACGAGGAAGTGTATTAAGGGGTCATGGCATTAGGAAGGTTGAGAATCACTGCTCTAAAGGCACTCCCTCCACTGACACTGCAGGTTATAGAGAGTGCCATGAACATGTAGCTCAAACGCTTCCAATGTCCTTCACAAACACTTTGGCCCACCACGAATGCTTTCATTCGGGGAGAATTTCACCCTAGATTTGACGTGTTTCCTCCACCACAGGCAGGCATCCCAGGGTTCCTGGTGTGGAATTTGCATTACCCTGCCCATTGTCTCTTCCTTAACTCTTTCCTACCCTTTACTATGGCACACAGCAAACAGGGAGGGATTGATCAGCAACTGAACGGACTGGAGGGGTTTGGGGGACTGAGTCAACAGGATGGAAGTTGTTGTTCACCCTGCATCAAGGCAGCACACTGTGACTCCCTTCAATAATGGACCTGGACCACATTTGGCACGCAGAATCTCCATGACCACGTTTGGGGGGGTTTACCTTGATTTATAGGAGTTGTAGTTCACCTACATCCAGAGAGCACTGTGAACCCAATCAATGATAGATCTGGACCAAACTTGGCACACAGACCCAACATGGCCAACTGTGAATACTGGCTGGGTTTGATGGTGATTGCCCTGGGAATCTGAGAGTTGTAATTCACCCTTATCCCGAAAACACTGAATCCAGCCAACGATGGATCTGGACCAAACTTGGCACACAGACCCAACATGGCACACAGACCCTACCTGCGTGACCGCATCTCCGTATATGAACCCACACGATCTCTCCGATCATCTGGAGAGGCTCTGCTCACAATCCCACCTGTGTCGCAAGCGCGATTGGTGGGGACGAGGGACAGGGCCTTCTCCGTGGTGGCCCCCCGACTCTGGAACTCTCTCCCTAAGGATATCAGACAAGCCCCAACATTGGCAGTCTTTAGGAAGAGCTTGAAGACGTGGTTGTTCCAGTATTCCTTCCCAGAATAGGAAACTCCTAGCATCATGTCCCAATTGCACTTTACTAGAGATTAAGATTGTCTGCACACCGCACTTATCTCCAAAAACCTATTCATTTCACCTGTCATGTTCAGCATTTTAAAATTTTAATCATTACATTTGGCCCGGCCTTAGTTTTAAATGTGTCATGGTGTTATTGTCTAATGTTTATTGCTATTGTTTTAATGTTTATTGCTTGTTTTATGAGTTTATTTATTGTTGTATTTGTTATGCTGTTGTTTTATTGATGTTTTGGGCCTTGGCCTCTTGTAAGCCGCACCGAGTCCTTCGGGATTATTATTATTATTATTATTATTATTATTTGAATAATAGAGAGCAAGGATTCCCCGAAGTACAAGGGTGAAAGGCCACTATACACCAAAAATTATTACAGTTATATAATCATAAGAATGTATATCATATCTATGCTCATAGTAGTATAACACTAAATGTACTAGCAGCTTGTACAAAGTATACTTCATGCAAAAAAAAATCCTTATGTGGGATAAACAACTGATCAGCTGTTCATCCCACATTAGGAAGTTTTGGATTAAGAGACTTGCAAAAAAGATTTGCAAACTTTGACTTGTTATGGATAAACTTTTGGTTTTCAAAAAGTACTTGCAAACTTGTGCATTTTGCTGTAAGAATCAGTTGTTTATCCCACATAAGGAATTTTTTTGGTTTAGAGAATTGCATGACGTATACTTTGTACAAGCTGCTAGTACATTTAATGTTATAGTACTATGAGCATAGATATGATATATTCATAGAATCATAGAGTTGGAAGAGACCTCATGGGCCATCCAGTCCACCTCCCGGTAAAGAAGCAGGAATATTGCATTCAAATCACCCCTGAGAGATGGCCATTCAGCCTCTGTTTAAAAGCTTCCAAAGAAGGAGCCTCTACCACGCTCCGGGGCAGAGAGTTCCACTGTACATGCAGGATTATATAACTGTGGTACTTTTTGGTGTATAGCAGTTTTGAATAATAACAAGGCTTGGGAATGATTAACCCACAATTCTGGGAACTGTAGTTCACCCACATCCTTATGCATTTTCTAATGGGAGCATTCATAAAAAAACAAAAAGACTGTATTGTCGAAGGCTTTCATGGCCGGAATCACTGGGTTGTTGTAGTTTTTTTGTAGGTTTTTCCGGGCTATATGGCCATGTTCTAGAGGCATTTTCTCCTGACGTTTCGCCTGCATCTATGGCAAGCATCCTCAGAGGTAGTGAGGTCTGTTGGAACTAGGAAAAAGGGTTTATATATCTGTGGAATGACCAGAGTGAGACAAAGGACTCTTGTCTGCTGGAGCTAGGTGTGAATGTTCAGTTGAAACATTCACACCTAGCTCTAGCAGACAAGAGTCCTTTGTCCCACCCTGGTCATTCCACAGATATATATACCCTTTTTTCCTAGTTCCAACAGACCTCACTACCTCTGAGGATGCTTGCCATAGATGCAGGCGAAACGTCAGGAGAAAATGCCTCTAGAACATGCCTCCAGTATTCCTTCCCAGAATAGGAAACTCCTAGCATCATGTCCCAATTGCACTTTACTAGAGATTAAGATTGTCTGCACACCGCACTTATCTCCAAAAACCTATTCATTTCACCTGTCATGTTCAGCATTTTAAAATTTTAATCATTACATTTGGCCTCTCTAGCTTATGTAGCTCTGTTTGTCTATCTGTGTATTTCTCTCTCGTTCTATTGGTGGCCCAATAATATTGTGTATTGTGTATGTGTTTTTATGCTTTTTAATGGAATATTGCTGCTTGTCGTTGTGTTGTAAACCGCGTTGAGTCGCCGATTTAGGCTGAGAAACGGCGGTATATAAGCACAGTAATAAATAATAAATAAATAAAATAAATAGAACATGGCCATATAGCCCAGAAAAACCCACAAAAAACAAAAAGACTGTTTTTTCCCCTAATAAATAGCATTATACATTACCAAACTGATATTACCTAACTTCGAAAAACAAACAATGCCTTTCACAAATAGCCCGGGCATCGTGGGTCCCCAAGCTAATATACAAATTTTAAAAAATTCCTTTCCTCTCTCTCTTTTCCTTCCCCCTTTGACCTTTCCTTCTACTCCTTCATCCCACTTTCCCTTTCCTTCCCACTCCCTCCTTCCTCTTCTTCTTCCTTTGCCCTTCCTTTCTTCTCCTTTTCTCTTTCCTCGCCTCTTGCTTTTCCTCCCTATTCCCTTTTCCCCTCTCTGTACCTCCTTTCTACTCCCCACTGACCCACTCCCTCCTTTCCTTTTCCTCCCCCTCCTCCCTTCCCTTCTCCCTTTCCCTTTCTCTCTTTCTCTCCTCCCCGCCTCCTTCCCTTTGTCTTCCTTTCCCCTCCTTCCTCTGCTCTCCTCCCTTCTTCCAGTGAGGAAGGACAGTCAAGGCAAAGGGGAGGAGGAAGGAAGAAAGAAAGGAAGAAAAAAAGAAGGAAAGAAAGACCCTATGGCTGCAGGTATGGAAGCGGAAGGGTGTTTCGGGGAAGAATGAAAGAAAGAGTAGGAAAAAGGGAGAGAGAGGGGGGCTCTTTCGACTCCCACTGCAGGCAGCTCCATCTACAGAAGGGGATTCTATGATGGTGGATCAGAGGGGGCTTCTGAGCACGTACAGAGCATTTCAAGGCCTAGTGATGAAACGGTGTGGCTTCAGCATCCATCCATTTATCACCTCTCTAGCTTATGTAGCTCTGTTTGTCTATCTGTGTATTTCTCTCTCGTTCTATCTATCATCTATCTCAGTGGTTCCCAACCTGTGGTCCGTGGACCACCAGTGGTCCACAAGAACTAAAACATGGTCTGCGGCCTCACTGTTTACAACACCATTGCAACGAGAGTGACTGGTCTCTCAAAACCCTCTTATAGTGCCGAGGCTCATTAAATATGGTTTTCTGTGGGCGAGCAGATGGTGACTACTTGGTGGCATATGTTCTGTATCAGAAACTAGAGCTGATGTGGTCTATCCAATGCAATTTGCAGAATCAGCACCCCAAATAACCAAACCGAATCTAAAGCCGACCAAAAACTTTTGGTACTAATGTTGGAGAGTGATCCCTGGTCAAAGTGGTCCCTGATCAAAATAAGGTTGGGAACCACTGATCTATCTGTATCTTTTTCTTTCTATCTATCTCTCCATCTCTCTTTCTCTCTCTCTCCTTAAATCATAGAATCAAAGAGTTGGAAGAGACCTCATGGGCCATCCAGTCCAACCCCATTCTGCCAAGAAGCAGGAATATTGCATTCAAATCACCCCTGACAGATGGCCATCCAGCCTCTGTTTAAAAGCTTCCAAAGAAGGAGCCTCCACCACACTCCGGGGCAGAGAGTTCCACTGCTGAACAGCTCTCACAGTCAGGAAGTTCTGCCTAATGTTCAGATGGAATCTCCTCTCTTGTAGTTTGAAGCCATTGTTCCGTGTCCTAGTCTCCAGGAAGCAGAAAACAAGCTTGCTCCCTCCTCCCCGTGACTCCCTCTCACATATTTATACATGGCTATCATATCTCCTCTCAGCCTTCTCTTCTTCAGGCTAAACATGCCCAGCTCCTTAAGCCGCTCCTCATAGGGCTTGTTCTCCAGACCCTTGATCATTTTAGTTTCTCTCCTCTGGACACATTCCAGCTTGTCAATATCTCTCTTCAATTGTGGTGCCCAGAATTGGACAATATTCCAGGTGTGGTCTAACCAAAGCAGAATAGAGGGGTAGCATGACTTCCCTAGATCTAGACACTATGCTCCTATTGATGCAGGTCAAAATCCCATTGGCTTTTTTGTTGGCTCATGTTTAACTTGTTGTCCACGAGGACTCCAAGATCTTTTTTACACGTACTGCTCTCGAGCCAGGCATCGTCCCCCATTCTGTATCTTCGCATTTCGTTTTTCCTGCCTAAGTGGAGTATCTTGCATTTGTCCCTGTTGAACTTCATTTTGTTAGTTTTGGCCAATCATCTCTAATCTGTCAAGATCGTTTTGAATCCTGCTCCTGTCCTCTGGAGAATTGGCTATCCCTCCCAATTTGGTGTTGTCTGCAAACTTGATGACCCTGCCTTCTAACCCTTCTAACCCACATGTATATATCCTTTTGTCATCTCTCTGTGTATCTCTCTCTAACACTATCTATCTATATGTCCCTTTCTATGTGTTTTTTTCTCTCTCTCTATCTCCCCATCTCTCTTCTTAGATATATGTCTATCCATTTGTCATCTATCTCTCTATCTCCCAATCTCTCTTCTTAGATATACGTCTATTCATTTGTCATCTATGTATCTCTCAGTCCTTCTCTATCTATCTCTCCATCTCTCTTCTTAGACATACGTCTATACATTTGTCATCTCTCTATGTATCTCTCTCTCTTTCTATCTCTCCATCTCTGTTCTTATATATACATCTATCCATTTGTCATCTTTCTATATGTTTCCATATCTCTATCTATCTATGTATCTCTCTGTATCTCTATCTCTATCTATCTATCTATCTATCTATCTATCTATCTATCTATCTCCCCATCTCTCTTCTTAGATATACGTCTATTTATTTATTTATTTTTATTTACTTTGCTTATATACCGCTGTTCTCAGCCTGAAGGCAACTCACAGAGGTTTACACACACTAAAAACAGCAATAATTCAATGCACATACAACAATTGACCACTTAACACATTATCCAATTAATAAACAACAAGCAATTACACTAACAATTATTACAATAACCAGCCCAATCGTCTCATCATCAAAGCGTAGTCCAGGTTCGTCGTCCATTGTTCCATTCCTATGTTCAATTACCAATATTGCACTAGATTACTCGAACGCCTGCACAAACATCCAGGTCTTCAACTTTTTTCGGAATGCCATGAGAGATGGTGCCTGCCTAATGTCCGCAGGAAGGGCGTTCCACAGCCGAGGGGCCACCACCGAGAAGGCCCTATCTCTCGTCCCCGCCAGCCGTGCTTGAGAAGCCGGCGGGATCGAGAGCAGGGCCTCCCCGGAAGATCTCAAAGTCCTGGTGGGTTCATAGGCCGAGATGCGGTCAGATAGGTATCTTGGGCCGGAACCGTTTAGGGCTTTATAGGTCAATACCAACACCTTGAATTGAGCCCGGTAGCAAATCGGCAGCCAGTGGAGCTGGTGCAACAGGGGGGTTGTGTGCTCCCTGCGCTCCGCTCCTGTTAGAATCATGGCTGCCGTGCGTTGGACTAATTGCAGCTTCCGGGCCGTCTTCAGGGGCAGCCCCACGTAGAGAGCGTTGCAGTAGTCTAGGCGGGATGCGACAAGAGCGTGGACTACCGTGGCCAAGTCAGACCTCCCAAGGTACTATAAGTTACTATCTTTTATGGGGGGGGGGGGGGGTTCATGTTCGACTTAATTACCAATCATTGCACTTCTTGTTCGAACGCCTTCTTGAACAGCCAAGTCTTTAATTTCCTGCGGAATATCATCAGGGAAGGAGCCAGTCTGATGTCCACGGGAAGGGTGTTCCACAGCCGAGGAGCCACCACCGAGAAGGCCCTGTCTCTCGTCCCCGCCAGGCGTGCCTGTGAGGCAGGCGGGATCGAGAGCAGGGCCTCCCCGGACGATCTCAAAGTCCTGGTGGGCATAGGCCGAGATGCGGTCAGATAGGTATCTTGGGCCGGAACTGTTTAGGGCTTTATAGGCCAGCGCCAGCACCTTGAATTGAGCTCGGTAGCAGATCGGCAGTCAATGGAGCTGGCGCAACAGGGGGGGTTGTGTGCTCCCTGCGCTCCGCTCCTGTTAGAATCATGGCTGCCGAGCGTTGGACTATTGAAGCTTCCGAGCTGTCTTCAAAGGCAACCCCACGTAGAGAGCGTTGCAGTAGTCTAAGCGGGATGTAACCAGAGCGTGGACTACCGTGGCCAAGTCAGACTTCCCAAGGTACGGGCGCAGCTGGCGCACGAGCTTTAGCTGTGCAAATGCTCCCCTGGTCACCGCCGAGACCTGGGGCTCCAGGCTCAGCGATGAATCCAGGATCACACCCAAGCTGCGAACCTGCGCCTTCAGGGGGAGTGCGACCCCATCCAGCACAGGCTGTAACCCTATGCCCTGTTCGGCCTTTCGACTGACCAGGACTATCCATTTGTCATCTCTCTATGTATCTCTCTCTCTCTCTAGCTATCTGTATCTCTTTCTTTCTATCTTTCACACTCTCTCTCTTTAGATATACATCTATCTGTCATCTCTTTATGTATCTTGATCTATCTATCTATATGTTTCTTTTTCTTTCTATCTCTCTCTCCCTTCATAAATACATTTGTCATCTATGTATCTATTTATCTGTATCTTTCTTTTTATATCTCTCTCTCTATCTCTCTCTCCCTAGACATAGATCTATCCACTTATCTATGTACCCCCTCCTCTCTAAACGTTGCCCTCTGTCTAAACCAGGGGTCCACAAACTTTTTAAACAGAGGGCCAGGTCACAGTCCCTCAAACAGTTGGAGGGCCGGATTATAATTTGGAAAAAAAAATCATGAATTCCTATGCACACTGCACATATCTTATTTCTAGTGCAAAATAACTTTAAAATAATACAATAATGAAAATGAAGAACAATTTTAACAAATATAAACTTATTAGTATTTCAATGGAAAGTGTGGGCCTGCTTTTGGCTGATGAGATAGGATTGTTGTTGTTATTGTTGTGTGCTCTCAAGTCGTTTCAGACTTAGGCTGACCCTGAGCAAGGGCCGGGTAAATGACCTTGGAGGGCCGTATCCGGGCACCGGGCCTTAGTTTGAGGACCCCTGGTCTAAACAATCTCCTTCATTTTTGTACCTCCTTTATATTTAATACTATCTCCCTCATTTTTAAAGCTATTGGGGTGAAACTTGCTACAATGGTAGAACACATTGACCACTGTCAGCCCACCCAATTCAGAATGTTTCACTTATCCACAGATTTTTGGCAAATTTTCAAAGTTTTAGGAGAGGTCAGACCTCTCTCTCCGCTATCCTGATTGGTACTTTATGATCTCGATGCAGTCTGGGAAATGTAGTTTAGGGCAGGGCCTTTTGAATTCTCTGGCATAGGGCTCCTCCCTTCCCAAACTACATTTTCCAGAGTTCTGTGCTGCTCCCTTTTTTTCCCCCATGTCAGGAGTGACTTGAGAAACTGCAAGTCGCTTCTGATGTGAGAGAATTGGCCATCTGCAAGGACGTTGCCCAGGGGACGCTTGGATATTTTGATGTTTTACCCCGGTGGCGCAGTGGGTTAAAGCACTGAGCTGCTGAGCTTGTTGACCAAAAGGTCGCAGGTTCGATTCCAGGGAGCGGCATGAGCTTCCGCTGTCAGCCCTAGCTTCTGCCAACCTAGCAGTTCGAAAACATGCAAATGTGAGTAGATCAATAGGTACCGCTCCGGCGGGAAGGTAACGGCGCTCCATGCAGTCATGCCGGCCACATGACCTTGGAGGTGTCTACGGACAACGCTGGCTCTTCGGCTTAGAAATG